AAACTTTGATTGTAATAGCACAGAGACATTTGTACTCAGATGACACACTGCTTAATGGAACATGATATGTTGAAGTTAAAAAAATTTGAAAACTTGGGAAAAAAAAGAAATTTCTCCTTAGTCTTCTTGAGCTTCTAAGGTTTCGTTAGTCGCTATCCTTTCAGTTCTAAATTTGTCTTCATGAACATAAGGACTAGAAAACTTGGTTTTAGAAAATAACAACACAAGAGAAGAATGTCTCATCTTTCCACAATGTTTAGAGCTGGAACTTCCAAATGGCAGAGACCCAGGCAGGACAATTTCAAGGACGCCCCCACAAAATAAGGAAGATACAGAATCAGCCAGCTCTATTTACTTTTAAAATAAAGGTATATAGGTAGTTCTCAACTTACGACCACAATTGAGCCCCAAATGTTTGTTGCTAAGCAAAACAGTTGTTAAGTGAGTCTTGCCCAGGGGTGGGATGCAAATGTTTTTACTACCAGTTCTGTGGGGCGTGGCTAGGTGGGCATGACCATGTGACTGGGAGGGCGTGGCTTCTTTTTTGCAGCACCCCCTGCTCTGCGCTCTGTTGCCTCCAGGCCCTCAGGAAAGCCTCCTGAGCGAAGCAGTAATACAGCGAGGGGGATCCCGGCACAGCTGATTGTTGGAACAGCTGATTGTTGGAACAGCTGATCGTTGGAACAGCTAGTCATTGGAACAGCTGGTTGTTGGAAGGGGGAAAACGAAATACTGGTTTGGCCAAACTGGTAGTTGTTTTATTTACTACTGGTTCGGCTGAATTGTACCATTGTTTTACTACTGGATCGCCAAACTGAGCCAAACCAGTAGAATACCACCACTGATCTTGCCCCATTTTACGGCCTTTCGTTCTTTCTTTCTTTCTTTCCGTGGTTAAGTGAATCACTGCACTTGTTAAATTAGTAACACGCTTGTTAAGTGAATCTGGCTCCCCCAACGACTTTGCTGGTTGGAAGGTTGCCAAAGGGGATCACGTGACCTTGGGACATGCAACAGTCATAAATCTGAGCCATTAGCCAGGCATCCAAATTTTGATCACATGACCCTGGGGATAATGCAATGGGCCTAAGTGTGAAAAACGGCCATAAGTCACTTTTTTCCCCAGTGCCATTGTAACATTGATCGTTAAATGAATCATTGTAAGTCGAGGACTTTACCTGTAATGGCTCCTGCTAAAGTTAGATAATACCGCATATGCAGGAACGTTAACCCAATTAGGTGGATCCATTCCATCCCCTTCTTGCTTGCACCCAAACACAACGCAAGCAAGCCAAAACACCGCACGTTGTTCCAAATTTTAAACTCAGGAGGGGGGACGGGAAGGCGCGCCTGCCTCCGCTCCCCAAAACTTTTGAGAAACGCAGATCTAATCTTACTGTGCTTCATCCTTTCGGGGTCTTCCTCCTGCTTAAAGGCCTGCCTGCTCGCCTGATGCTTGGAGCTGCGCGTGCCCGGTGTCTGGCCAAGCGGAGTGGCAGCCCCTTCCCCACCTCCAGCTGCAGCGGTCTTCAAAGCCCTGATGCCTTGGCTCACGGCCGCGTGCTCTCCGTTCTCGGGGTGCTGCAAGGCGACAGCCTTCTCCACCTTCGATTGTTTGGAAGGGTGAAGGGTGGGGGACAGGGTCCGTTCGGCAGCTCTAGGGCAAAAGCCAGATTTAAGGAGAAGTCAAGAGGGTCAAGAAGATCAGAACCACATGTTGTGTTCAATTTAAATTTACCGACAAAGAAATAAAGGAAGACTGTTTAGCTCTCTCATCAGTTAGTCATGTCCTTCTTGTCAGAGTGTTTGCAGCATGTCTACTATTGTGAGACAACCGAGGAGCAAAACACAGCACACAGAGGCTTTGTCTTTTAACGGTGGTTTATATACAAGACAGCTATATATATATACATATACGTGTTAGGCAAATACCTGATAAGCACTCAATCTTCATTACTCTGCACTGAGAACTATAATGGAGATAGAACATAAGGACAGAGAGACGCCCTCTCATGGCTGCCTTTATATAGACAGCTTCTTAAAGTGGCAATAACCCTGCTGGCCCAACCTCAGTCTTAAAGCGGCAATACCCTGCCGACTCATTCTCATTGCATCAGCATTTACAGCAGCCTTCCAGCAGCTGGTCAGCTATTAAATCTTCCATACCTTAACACTTCTGGGATTCAAACCCAGGCTGCTTGCATATTAGGCAGATGTATTAACCTCTAGGCCAAAGGCTCTCCTCGTTTTGACAGCTGTGTCAGAGTATATTCATGAACTGGAAGAGCTTGGTAACAAGGTCAGCCAATGAATAGACATAGCAACTAAGTCAGCCAATGAGGACTGTTTTTGGAAACTGAAATCAGAAGTAGCCTAGGCTGGAAACTGAAACTAAAAGTAGCCTAGGCTCTATATTAAGCTCTGCAGCTATATTGAGCTCTGAGTCGGTCTATTGAAGATGAAACTAACTTGCTTGCTAGCTGAAGACTGGAGCTCTGCTCTGAACTTGCAACATGTTTCTGTCTGAGTTTGCTCCATGTTGGAAAAATCTACAACTGGTTTGTAAAATCTACTTATTATGTTTACAAAGATGTTAAACGAAGCATCGGCCATCTGTGTTTATTTTTCTGGCACTGAATTAATGCTGCAAAACTCTGAACAGGCTGTGTGCCAAGGAGGAGAGACCAGACCATCAGGGCAACCTGCTCTACCCAAATATGGGACAGAGCCTATCAAATCCACATATGAAGGTTCAATGAAGCTGCTTTATTGCTAAAAGCCCATGAGCAGGAATCTTCCCAACTAAGGCCAGCACCTAATTAGAGTTAGATAAGAGCGAAGGGGATTCAAAAGGGGTTGAATTTAGTCTGCTTATGGCTATGTAGGGATTCTTGGCTAATTCCTCTTTTGGCTCCATCCCAGGTTCTGCCACTCTTTCTCCTACAGCAGGGCTGGGCAACGATGGCCCCTTTATGACTTGTGGACTTCAACTCCCAGAATTCTGCTGGTTCAGGAATTCTGGGAATTGAAATCCACAGGCCTTAAAGGGACCATCGTTGCCTACCCCTGTCCTAACAGCAACTCAGGTGAGCTTGAACTGCAGTGCCTCCTGAGTACTTAGGCAACGGAGACCAGGTGCATCAGTAGGGGGCTCAAAAAAAGTCAAGATGGCAGCCGCAATACTGCAGCTGAATCTCAGATTCAGGTGAATCTTTTTTGTTTGGCTGCGTTTGAGCCAAACCATCTTGTAAAAGTTAGGGCTGGAGCTATCAGGTGCAAAAAACCCAAGTCCCGATGAAGGCTCAATTAAAATGATTTTTTGCTGAAAGCCTATGTACAGGAATCTTCCCAACGAAGGGTTAGCAGCACCTGCCAGGAGATACCGGTAGCTAAGGGTCAATAGACTTCAAGGGGAGTTGGATTTAATTCGCTTGTGGCTATGTATGTGTGGGAAGCCACACCCCACACCCAAAGAATGAAATATTTTGGGCAATATTAAGAGAGGCAGAATATTATATTTCTCCCAAGGAGAAATGGAGAAATAAATCTTAACAAAGGCAGAAAGCAGTCCCAATCTTCCTGCCCTAGCCTCAAGCAGAAGCCTCAAGTCTTTAGAGATGGATGTTTTGTAACTATTAAGAAATATATTAATCTATTAATAAACACAACGCCTACAGCCACAGTTCCCACTGAAGGCTGGAGCTGATGGGACTAAGGATTTACATTCTCCCACCCAAATTCTAACAGCAGGACCTTTAAGGCATAATAGGATTTACCCACCGCTATTGGAATAGCAGAAGTCACAAGGCTCACTACATTGCACAACCCCTCTGGAGCATCTCAATCGCCAAACCCTAGAGACCTATATAAATCCACCCACTCACCCAGCCAATTGGTCAGCCACCCCAGAAACATGCTGCTATCACTGAAGTTATTGCCGGTGGTCATTCCAGATCCACGCAGTCCAGGGGAGCAGCTTCCCCTAGCCCTTCCTCTTTCTCCGGAGGCCCTGGTCCCTACCTTTTCTTCCCTGCCCCCTTACTGGTTGCCTTCTGTGCTTTGTTTTCTACTGGGGGGCTGGCCGCCGGCAACGGCCGGTCCAAATGGTTCCAGAGGCAATGCTTCTCCAGTTGGGTTTTTGACGTGAAGACGGCTTCACAGTACACGCAGGGGAAGGTGCGTTTCTCGACAACGGCGCCCTGGAAGAAAAAGAGAAGAAGGGAAAGAAAATAGAGGAAATTGAGCAAAAGAAGAAAAAAAATGCAACGTATCTCTTGGCTTCTGTGGTCAAAATACAGCTGTGTGGCCTTGTGTGAGGAACACAGAGGACCAGGCAACCATGGGGCTGGACATGGCCCTCTCCCCACCTCCATTAATAACTGTTAACTCCTTCCCCCCAAATCTTGGAATATGTCACCATTTGGTATTTTACAAAATTATTTTTATAATTTTAAAATTTTCTGATCTTAAATTAATTCTGATTTTAACGTTAATTTTATGGATTCCATTGTACACTGTCCACAGCCCCTCCCTGAGAGAAA